AAGATCCCCTTTCCATTATATGGGATTGATTTGTTTTGTAATAGAACCAAGTTTAAGACTTCCTTAACTGATATCTCACCTTTCTTGACTATTGCTGCTCTCCTTTTAACAAAGTGTGAAAAGCCCCCAAAGGATGTGTTATTAAATGTATTACTTTTCCCATAAATTTGTTCTGAAACAAAATTTCTCAAGAGCAAAACCCTAATGGCTTCTTAGAAAGCTCGGTAAGGCTTATTCTCAGTGGAGTTCAGTTTTTAAAAATAATGAATGTACAATTATGTAAGTAAATGTGTTCCAGAGTAAAAGAAAAAAATGTAATAGTTTTTAATTGTATTGGAAAGCAATATGTTGGGCTTTTTTTACCTAGGTTTTAAGGTTTATTAAAAAATGGCATGGAACAATAGCATCAATATGCTGTGTTATGTAACCCTGGCCTTCTTTGCTGGCTTTAAATCACCAGATTTGGATTCAGTGTCATGAGACAGTCTCAGGAGAGAAAGGCAATAACCATGCTGTTGTCTGTGTTTATGGGTTTGTGTGTGGGGGTATATGTGTGTTTAACTCATAGGCACAGACAACAGTATTGTGATTACCAAAGGGAAAGGAAGTTGAAGAGGGTGAAAATAGGGGGAATAAATGGTGATGGAAGGAGACTTGACTTGGGGTGATGGACACATAATACAACATACAGATGATGTATTATAGAGTGGTACACCTAAAACCGACACAATTTTATTCACTAATGTCACCCCAATAAATTAAGTAAAAATAAAATAAAGGAGCCAACCACAAGAAGGACAATGAAAAAACAACAAACAAAACAACCAACAAAAACAACAACAGAAAGAGGACAACATCAAGGAGAAAATGCCTTAGCGCTTGACTGCAAAGTGGAAAGACACAACTGTCAGAAGTATTAAAATCTTGCATCTATGAAAAGGATTGAAAACTATTTCACACGGGCACCATCATAGGAATTCATAGATGGATGCTGCGTTGAGCATCTCAAAAGAAAGGGCTAGATTCCAGCCTCCTGAATATCTCCAGAGGAATGTTTTATGGCACGAACTCCAGAGTCTGCAGGCAAAGCAGTGAGCTAGCTGTTCCCTGTGCTGGGAATGCTCTCCCCTCCTCTTCCCGTAGCGGCTTCTTCCTGGTGCTCCTATCTGAGCTATACATGCTGTCTTCACAGAGGCCTACTTGGGCCACCCACCTCGCACCCTCTATGACATTACTGTATGCTCGTCTTCCAGTTTTTACTAGATGTATGTTCTTGTTCATTTGTTGCTGATCTGTCTCCAAGAAAAGCAAACTACTTGAGAGCAGCGTCTGTCAAACTTGTTCTCTGCTGTATCCCCATAGTTGGAACTCATAGTTGTAGTAGGTACTCAATAACTATTCCTTGACTAGATGGATGGGTGGGTGGGTGGATGGATAGATGGATGAACAGATGAATTACTTTACATAAGTAAATAATTAAAAATGAAAGGCAACAACCTTGCAGCATACAATAAGCAAGATAAATTAAAAATCTGTTTGCCTGGCCGGTGTTGCTCAGTGGTTGAGCAGTTGGCCTATGAACCAGGAGATCAGGAGGTCATGGTTCGATTCCTAGTCAGGGCACATGCTTGGGCTGCGGGCTCAGTCCCCATTGGGGGCCTGCAGCAGGCAGCCAGTCAATGATTCTCTCTCATCAGTTGATGTTTTTTTATCTCTCTCCCTCTTCCTCTCTGAAATCAATATATTTATATTTATTTATTTTAAATCTGTTCCTGACTGAAATTTTTTCTTCTTTTTCACATATGGGATTTTAGTTTTAACTCAGCTTGGGTTAGTGTTGCAGACAACTTAATTACATACAAGGGCAAGGAGATTAGTGGTAAGGATAGTCCAACCCATTCAGTCATCTGAAAAGCATTGCGTATTTCAGGTTGTCCTGCTATGAATGTGAATATTGTTACTTCATGGCCCTGGTGTAATGAACTCTCTTCACTGCCCTTACCTACTTCTTCTCTGAACTCCGGAAGTAGTCTCCTCCTTCCTGGAATTGGCCTTCCTGCTCCCTGTTCTTGCTCCCTGCCAGTCCATCCTCCACACTGCAGCCAGGAAGAGACTGAAATACAGATAGCTACTAGTACATTTGTAGCATTTTAGTTCTCAGGGCAAAAAACAAAGCTGTAAATGTTTTGTGTTTTCAAAATTATTTTTTATAACAACTTTCTTAAAATATAATTCACATCCCCTACAATTCCTCGTTTAAAGTGTACAATTCACTGGTTTTTGTATATTCGCAGAGCTGTGCAGCCGTCAGCAAGGTCATTTTAGAACATTTTCATCACCTCAGAAAGAAACCCTCCACCCTTTAGCTTAAACCCCACGCCTCCCATCCTTCCCAACCCTAGGCAGCCACAAATCTGTTTTCTGTCTCTGTAGATGTGCCTGTTCTGGGCCTTTCAGACAAATGGAATCATAGGCTATGTGCTCTTTTCGACTAGACTTTTCTTCACTTGGCATAAGCTTCTCAAGGCTTACCTAGGTCGTAGCATACATCCGTGCTTCCTTCCTTTCTGTTGCTGAATGATATTCATTGTATGAATGCACTACATTTTGCTTGCTCATTAGGTGATGGACGCTTGAGTCATTTCCACTTTGGGCTATTATGAATAATGCCGCTATGAATGCTTGTTGTACAGGTTTTTGTGTGGACATATGTTTTCATTTCTCTGGGATATGTACCTGGGAGTGGAATTGCTGAGTCAAATGGAAACTTAACTTTTTGAGGAACTGCCAGACTGTTTCCAGAGTGCTTTTACATTTTATGTTTCCATCAGCAGTGTGAGGGGGTTCTGATTTATCTACGTTCTCGCGAACACTAGTTATTATCTGGCTTTTTATGTTAGCCATCTTACCCAGTGACAAGCCGGTATATCACCGTGGTTTTGATTTGCATTCTCTGATAGCTGATGATCTTGAACATCTTTTCATGTGCTTATTAGGCATTTGTCTTCTTCAGAAAAATGTTTATTCAGACCCTTTGCTCACTTTTGTTTGGGTTGTCTTTTTAGTATTGAGTTGTAAGTTCTTTATATGTTCTAGATGCGAGTCCCTTATTAGATATATGATTTACAAATATTTTCTACTATTTTATGGGTTGTCTTTTCACTTTCTTGATAGTGGTTTTTGAAATCAAATAGTCTTCAATATTGATGAGGTCCAAATATTTTCTCGTTTGTTGCTTATATTTCTGATGTTTTACCAGTAAGACTCCATGGCCAGGTCCAAAGTCATGAAGATTTACTCCTATGTTTTCTCCTGAGATTTTTGTAGTTTGGGCTCTTACATTTAGGTCTTTTGAGTTAATTTTTTAGTTAATTTTGAGTTAATTTTTGTACATGGTGTGAGGTCAGCAGCTGTATCATTTTACATCCCCAGCAGCAAAGCACAGGGTTCCAATTTCTCCACACCCTTCCCAACACTTGTTATTTTCCTTTTTTTTGTTAGACATCCTAATGGGTGTGAAGTGATAGCTCATCGTGGTTTTGATGAGCATTTCTCTGATTAGCATTGTTGAGCATCTCTTTATGTGCCTGTGGGCCATTTGTATATTGTCTTAGGAAAAATACCTGCTCAATTCCTTTGCCCATTTTTAAATTGGAGTGTTTATTTTGTTGTTAAGTTATAGGAGTTCTTTATATATTCTGGATATCAATATTTATCAGATATATGAGTTGTCAATATTTTCTCACATAGGTGGGTTGCCTCTTTATTCTGTTAAGAGTGTCCTTTGAGGCATAAAAGATTTTAATCTTGACGAAATCCAATTTATCTGTTTTTTTTCTTTTGTTGCCGTGCTTTTGGTGTCATATCCAAGAAATCATTGCCAAATGCTGCTACCAATTTCTAAACACTTGCCCTGGTGGCATTTAAACTACTCAGTGAATTGTTTAAGGAATTTTGAAATTATTTCCATTTATCATCTTACTTTTATAATTATGGGAGATTTTCATAATTTTTCATTCAATCCTAAACTTCATCTGAGTCTTTATTTTCTTGATTGCTGCCAAATGCATTTAACTGGAAATCAAAAGCATGGAAATAGCACATTGTCTTATGATACAATTGTTCCCCATGGGGAATAGCCATCAAAATTATTGCCAACTGCCTTTATTAGGAAAAGAAAATTCTTAACTGATTAAAGACTAGGGATATTGTATATCAACTATTCAATGGGTTTTTAACTTTTTTGCTTCATTTTTTTTTAATACGGAATTTCACTTCGGCTCATATAAACTTCTAACACTTCAAAGACATTTTGCATTCTGAAAAGGGTTCCTTGTGGTTGTAACGTTCATTTGAAATTCAAATAACTCCTTGGAATTTGAAGCGAGCTGGAAGTTATGCACTATAGAAGAAGAGGAGGGGAAAATCCCTTAAATCATTGCTAATTTATCATGCTAGAATATATTCTACCTTTGTATTTAGAGAGGAGCTGCTAATGCATCTTTTGAAGTCATCAAATAATAGATGCACTATCTATAGTAAACATCTTGGGCAATGTGAAAGAAATAATTTTTTAACCTATATAGTTCTTGTTTTAAACCACTATACATATGTCCAAGCAAGTTTTGTTCAAGCCCCTAATTTTGTAGAGTAGATGATATCAAAGACCCAATAAAAGCCTAAGACATGGTTCTCTTTCCTCAGAGTTCGCCATCTATTTATAGAGCCTGATGATACACATGACAATATAGAAGGACTAAGGGATGCTCACTGTTTAGAGTCTGAGAAAGTAAAGATGGGCTACTAATCCTAATAAAGTTATTATTCATGTTTCAAACAACCCTCCCATATGGATGCCAAATAAATATTTGCTGAATGAACAAATGAATGAATGTATCAACCTAAAATTTTTTGCTGTTTGGGGTGTTTGTTTGTTTTTTAGTAAATATTGTACAAGTGCTATTTAGCGCACCATTTAAATAAAACATTTTCTTTTTCAGTTTCACCTTTTTGGAGTTTTGCTGGCTGTTTTAGGAAACTTGGTAATCAGCATTTCCCTAAATATTCAGGTAAGAAGAGCTTACTTTTCTAATTCTGAATTTTCCTAGCACATGACGATTTTAATGGGCCATGGACACTTTTGCCTTCTTGGGCTTTTCCTCCATGAAAAATATAAAAATTATATTTTATGACCTCGCCAATATAAAGAGAAATATAATCCAACTGGATTACAGTCATGTTTTCTCTTCTTCTGATTTTAAAATAAATTAAATAAATGCTTTTGTGGTCCTCTTGATAGTATTGTATACCGTAGGCAAGGTGTGTAGGTGGTTTATGAGTTTGTACCCCACTTAGAAAGATACTCATAGTCTTGGCATAAGCTAAGATTTTCTTTAATGTTCCATGTTTTCTTCTAGTACTTTTATTGTTTTCTTTAAAAATTTTTTAAGTAATGTAGAATTGTACATACTTTGTAATAAGGAAGTTCAGTTATCATAAAATCAATAAGGAAATAGGGCTTTATTCAATGGCCAGTTTTTCAGGAATTTATATGTTTAAAATACAAAGAAATACTCAAGCCAGATATAAGTAAGACTCTCCCAACCTAACCCTCTGCTCCCAAAGCATTCTACCATGGTGTATTCATTGCGATAGCTACTTTGACTCATAAATTTGAATCTCTTTTCAAAAGGTTTTTCTTTAGTAACTTATTAACTTCATTTCAATTATGTTTATTTTGGCATCTGGACTTTTCGATATTCTGAAATAAGTGTTTTGGAGCAAAGGATTTACCACCAGAACACAGGTGTCGTGAAAACCACCACTAAATCAAAACCAAAATGGGAAAGGAAAAGACTCATATCAACATCATGGTCATTGGACATGTAGATTGCAGCAAGTCTACCACCACTGGCCATCTGATCAGGTGTGATGGGACTGACAGAAGAACCATCAAAAATTTGAGAAGGAGGCTGTTGAGATGGGGAAGGGCTCCTTCAAGTATGCCTGGGTCTTGGAGAAGCTGAAAGCTGAAACATGAACATGGTATCGCTACGGATATCTCTCTGTGGAAATTCGAGAATAGTATGTATTATGGCACACAGTGACTTCATCAAAAACATGACTACAGGCACATCTAAGGCTAACTGTACTGTCCTGACTGTTGCCCCTGGTGTAGGTGAATTTGAAGCAGGCATCTCCAAGAATGGGCAGACCTCTGAGCATACTCTCTTGGGTGTGAACCAACTAATTGTTGATGTTAACAAAATGGATTCCACTAAGCCGCCCTGTAGCCAGAAGAGATATGAGAAAATTATTAAAGAAGTCAGCACCTACATTAAGAAAATTGGCTACAACCCTGACGTGTAGCATTTGTGCCAATTTCTGGTCGGAATGGTGACAACATGCTGGAGCCAAGTGCTAACATAACATGCCTTGATTCAAGGGATGGAAGGTCACCCGTAAAGCTGGCAATGAGGGTGGAACCACGCTGCGTGAAGCTCTGGATTGGATCCTGTCACCAACTGGCCCAACTGACAAGCCCTGGAGTCTGCCCCTGCAGGATGTCTACAAAATTGGTGGTATTGGTACTGTCCCCAGGGGCCAAGTGGAGACTGGTGGTCTCAAATCCAGCATCATGGCCACCTGTGGTCCAGGCAGTGTTACAACTGGAGCAAAGTCTGTTGCGATGCACCATGAAGCTTTGAGTGAAGCTCTTCCTGAAGACAGTGAGGGCTTCAGTGTCAAGAAGGTGTCTGTCAAAGATGGCACTGTGGCTGGTGGCACAGAGATGACCCACCAGTGGAAGCAGCTGGCTTCACAGCTCAGGTGATGATCCTGAACCATCCCGGCCAGATCAGTGCTGGCCATGCACCGGTGCTGGATGGTCACACAGCTCACATTGCTTGCACATTTTCTGAGCTGAAGGAGAAGATTGATTGTCATTCTGGGGAAAAGCTGGGAGACAGCCCTAAGTTTTTGAAATTTGGTGACGCTGCCATCGTCAGTATGGCTCCTGGCAAGCCTGTGTGTGTGGAGAGCTTCTCCAACTATCCTCATTTGGGCCATTTTGCTGTTCGTGACATGAGACAGACAGTTGCTGTGGGTGTCATCAAAGCAGTGGACAAGAAGGCAGCTGGAGCTGGCAAAGCCACCAAGTCTGCCCAGAAAGCTCAGAAGCTAAATGCATGTCATCCCCATACCTGCCACCCCACTTCTTAATCAGACCGTCTCGGAACTGTTTGTCTCCATTGGCCGTTTAGGTTTAATAGTAAAAGACTGGTGAACGATTCATGCCTTGTAAAACCTTCAGAAGGAAAGGAGGATGTGTTATGGGCCATTTGGATTTTTTTGTATGTGTGGCAATTTTTAAATTGTTTTTAAAATCAGTATTTTTTAATGGGAAAAACTAGCTTGACCAAAAATCTGTCACAGAATTTTGAGACCCATTAAAACTAAGTTTAATGAGAACAAAAAAATAATAAAATAAGTGTTTTGGTCGAGGACCAAAAAGTCACTTAACTCCTTCCCATACACCTCAACTTTTGATAGTATTGATACTTATTTTACAGAGTTGTTATGGGAATGAAGCAACATTCATATGTGAGAAGGCCCTGGGAACTATAAAATGCTAAGTCAGTGTGAATCACTTCTGCTGCTCATATGCTTGACACAAACACAGAAACATAATCATTGCTCTACAATGATCTGGCCAATAAATGTTAAAGCCACGATGCAAATTTATAGGGCCAACATTTTTTTTTAATATATTTTATTGATTTTTTTTTACAGAGAGGAAGGGAGAGAGATAGTTAGAAACATCGATGAGAGAGAAACATCGACCAGCTGCCTCCTGCACATCTCCTACTGGGGATGTGCCCGCAACCCAGGTACATGCCCTTGACCGGAATCGAACCTGGGACCTTTCAGTCCGCAGGCCGACGCTCTATCCACTGAGCCAAACCGGTTTCGGCAAGGGCCAACATTTTTAAAACAAGTTTTAAATATCTTCTTATTTACATTCTGATTTACTTCTAGAAATATTCTCACCTTCAGTTGGCACACCAAGAGCACGCAAGGCCATTCTTCAGGAGCTTGCTGTGGTGGGGCGGGGCTCTCCTGATGGCCCTCGGAGAGACAGGGAACTTCGCGGCCTACGGATTTGCCCCCATCACTCTCATCGCTCCGTTAGGCTGTATGTCTGTTACAGGTGAGCCAATTTCCTATGTTTTGACAAATGGAAATTTTAAGAGATCAGAAAGTTGATGAAAAACATACAACTTAAAAAAACACACGCAGAAAGAAAAAAGGTTTATTCCTGTCTTCTTAGCACGTTAACTTCACACAATATACTACTCATTTCAGTTATTCACTGTCATGCTGCCACATGAACCATGAGTAAACTTGCATTTGGTAGCTTGACCACTGTGCATAAAAGCCCAATTCCCAGCCTGCGTCTTAATAAATTCACAGTAACAGCAAATGTTATGCTGTTCTTGTTAATTATTAACGAATCAGCTCAAAGCATCTTGTAATACAATTTATATTTTATTCATATGTTAAACTGACATTGCATGTACTTAGATTCATTGGTGCCTGATCTCAACTCCATAGGTTAGCATCCCTTTTACATTAAAAATTAAATATTTGTTTCTTTTAAAATTTATATGATTTACTAAGTACATTTAGAAAAGGGAATGTGAGATGTTGCTAAAAGACTAAAAAAGGAGCAAAAATCACTGCTGAAAAAGGAGAACAAATTCTCTAAACCTCGTTAAATCAATAAGATCTTTTTATTTTTGCTCTCTATTTACTGCTATGGAAACAGCATGTTTCTAAATTTCTGTGAATGTGGAAACCATTGAAATAGAAACAAGAGGCTGGTTATTGTCTGGTAACAACTAGATCAAGCATACCATGTGCTTACATATCCCAGTTTTAGTATTTCTCCTAGGAAGTATAAAATAGTCTTAAAGAATGCATCGTTTGAACTGAAATAATGTGTATTCATAGAGATTTTCATTTTGTTTATCAAGCAGTTTCCCCTTCTTAATCATTCAAAATATTTAAATACATTTATGATCTATGATGATAGAACACTTAGCAAAGACCACTTTTTTAATTTCTAGAAGTTGTTCCGTTAAAATCGCCATGCTGTTACTACTCTGAATAGGCTCACAATTGATGTAATTCTTTATCATTTTTAACATCCTGATAAAGGGAGCAATTTGGGTATGTCTTATCTTCTATTTAGTATACATACCATGTACACGGACGTCCTAGATTTTATTTTCAAAATCTGAGAAATAACATAAAAGATCTAGTTATATTGTCAACATGAGACTTCAGGCCCCCAATTCCCCAATTGTTCTGAAAATGTTATATTATTCTTCATAATGACTGTATATTTAGAGCCGATCTTTAGTTTTGTTTCTTTTTCTGCTTTATCCTCAATTTCCATGAAATAGCTAAAGGAAAAAGGTGTCCAGGCATAATAGTTACTGGGGACCGGGCTGAGGGCACCAGATTGTACTGAAATTCTCCATTGATCGCCAGATACCCAGTCCTGGGAAATCATTTTTCCGGGAACAAAATAAAAGAGAACTACTCTAACCAGCTGAAAGCAAGAGGGATATGGCTGATTTTATTGTATAGACCCGAGACTTCCCAGGAATGAAATATAGCCAGGCCTCCTGTGAGGTGGAAATTTAGAAGTTGCCGGAAATGTAGGGCCCTCATTGCAGATCTTCAGTGAAGCTGCCGTGAAACTGCTCATTGTGGCATGACTTGCTCTCATTAACCACAGGAAGCGTAAGGGGTCCCGCCTTTCCCTCACTGCCCTGGCCTCCCCAAGTCCCCTGTGGGGCCAGCCTGCCCACCTCAAACTCTGAGTCCACCGCCTTGACCGATGGGCTTTGCTTAATGCTTCTCACCATTTTTTTAAAAATATATTTTATTGATTTTTTACAGAGAGGAAGGGAGAGAGATAGAGAGTTAGAAACATCGATGAGAGAGAAACATCGACCAGCCGCCTCCTGCACATCTCCCACTGGGGATGTGCCCGCAACCCAGGTACATGCCCTTGACCGGAATCGAACCCGGGACCCCTCAGTCCGCAGGCCGACGCTCTATCCACTGAGCCAAACCGGCTTCGGCGCTTCTCACCATTTTGTGTGTGTGATCTTAGCCCCAATTAATGGTTCACATTTAGAGCATTTTTAGCAACTTCCCTCTCTGCCCATTGAAAACGATTCAAAGAAGTAAATGATGGCCACAAACACAAATCATTTTCTGCTTTACAATCTTTGCAAATAATAATATATTCTCAGAAGTAATATCCCCACAGCACTCCTGAGCTGAATTTAGGTTATGATGAAGTGTCATGCGTGGGATAGGGACTACTGTGATGGAGAATTTTCCCCAGAACAACCCCGACCACCCTGAGATTCTTTATAAAGATTATGGAAACTCGAGAGAATTTGAAGCGAAGGGGAAAGTATTTTTCACGCAGACGTTTCTTATGGCTGTGTTTACAGATAAGGCACAGGAGTGTCCACACTTCTTTGCTTGAACTTTTCCCTCTTATTATTCCTTGGGAGCCTCAACAGAGAAATCAAATCTCCCTTTGAGTTAAGAAAAAAGGATAGTGTCTGTTGCAATGTTGCTTGGAGGTTGCATCTTCTGTTCTGGCCTCTTTTTCTTCCGCTGCTTTATAAATTTTTAAAAAAAAATTAGAATCTAGGACACTGTAGACAGTTTAGCTCTGAAGTCCAAGCGAAGGGTACCTTCTGCCCTCTTCCTCCGGCCGGTCTGCTCCTTCCAGCCCTCTGTGCTCCTTGACCCCATGTGCAGTCTCACCACACATGGGTCTGTCTTAGTCATCAGAGCTCCTGCTCCCTCTGTACACTGCAATCGAGCAGGGTTTTGGGGTGTTTTTTTGTTTTGTTTTTAATTAGGACTAGTATGGAAGAAGCACTATGGTCAGCATTATGGATATTTCCATTCGCACTCTCTCCACGTTCCCGCCTCAAACCATCTTCATTTCTGTCCTTTCTGGCCCTCTGTCTGGTCCTGCTGGTCCCCACTGACATGCTCACCCTGAGACAGCGTTTCACAAGGAGACTTTTGCCGGTGCTTTCGAGGGTGTTCTAAGGGACAAAGAATTCCCCAATCAAGCACGTTTCTGAAATACTAGGCTTCCAGTTACGCAGGTGTCGTCCGTGTGGGGTTCCGGGGCCTGGGGTGGTCCAGGCGCAGGGTCAGTCTTTCAAAGGCAGAGGCAAAGGGCCAGGTTTCCCAAACCTGACAATCACAAGATGCTTTTCTACGAAGCGTCTCTACAAACAACACTTCTGCGGAGGACCCTCGGGGACTTCTGAAGGCAATGGTCCCAGCAGTCCCCGCATCGGGACGAGCCGGGATAGACGAAGGGCCGAGCGGGCAGTGGGGTTGGATGACGGGAAACAGTCCTGGTGAGTAGGCAGATCGGAGTGGCCAGGCCTGGGTCCTGCTTTTTGAGAGAGAGAGAGTCGGAGCCCTGGTATCCTTGTGCCACCTTGTGCTTTTACCCTACTTTTCTCACTAAAGGCCTTTGTCAGTGAAGAATAGGTCCCAACGTGTGTTCTGCGGAAAGGCTTAACTTTTAGACTTGTGTTTGATTTTCCATAATTAAGAAAGCTTAATGGGTAGTTTTTTCACTTTCATCTAGCGCTTCGGCTGGATGCTTCCCCAATAAGTCAGGGCAGTAGAATGGTCAGGAGCACAAGCTCTCGGGCCACACTGAGGCTCAAATCTCAGTCCTGCCCCTGGAAAGCTCTGTGACCTTGGGCAAGGTGCTTAAACCGGTTCATGCCTTGATTTCTAATCTGTAAAATGGGAGTAAAAAGAGTGCTCACCCCAAAGAAAGACAAGTATCACGTGATCTCGCTCATATGTGGAATCTGATGAACAAAATAAACTGATGAACAAAATAGATCCACAGACATAGAAGCATGGAACAGACTGTGAAACCTCAGAGGGAAGGCGGGGGAGGGTGGGTGGGGAGAGATTAACCAAAGGATTTACATGCATCTATGTATAATCCACGGGCACAGACAGTAGTGTGGTGAAGGCCTGGTGGGGGGGTGCTTGTGTGGAGGAGGTTAATGGGGGGTGAAGAAGGGGATGATCTGTAATACTTTCAACAATAAAGATAATTGTTTTAAAAAAAAGAAAAAGAGTGCTTACCTGAGACGTGGTCACAGGAGGACCCTGAGAACAGAACTAGCTGAGCAGTAAGTACGGTGTCTGCCTCGGCGACAGCACTGGCTCTCACTGCTGTGCCTCCTCCTCACATAGAAACGAAGCTCCCAATCCCCAAAGGTGGCCAATGGTTACATTTTCTAAAGTGGATGAACCAGTTCGAGAAAAGCTTTTCGTTCTTACCCACGCAGTGGTTAACTTTCAGGGAGCTAGAAGTCGGATCTTCCCGGCTCCTCTGTTGGGCCATTAAGCAGTAATTACCCTTGGACTCCTCCCCACATTCCCTACCAAAACAAGTTGGAAATGCTAGGATTTCCAGATAACCTACCACGACAACATGCACCTAGAAACCAGACCCAGCAGTTTGATAGAGGACAAGTGGTAACAGCCTGAGATGTGTGTGCAACTCTGTCTACTTGCTACTCTCACTTTGCAGCACTTTCTTCGCTCGCTGACTAACTTCAAAGAGGCTGAAGGGCGGAGTTTTTCAGGTCTAACTGCAATTTAAGAATGTGTTTTCTGTCCGGCTGGTGTGGCTCAGTGGTTGAGTGTCGACCTATGAACCAGGAGGTCACGGTTCAGTTCCCGGTCAGGGTTTGGGCTCGATCCCCAATAGGGGGCATGCAGGAGGCTGCCCACCAATGATTCTCTCTCATCATTGATATTTCTACCTCTCTCTCCCTCTCCCTTCCTCTCTGAAATCAATAAAAAATATATATTTAAAAAAAAATAGCTTCTGAAGAACTATTTAATATACTAAAAACTTAGTAAAAAGAAGTAAGCTGGATATCTGTAGAACTTGTACTAAAATTTTAAACTTCTTTACTGCCTGTCCCAGGTACACCCTCCTCCTCAGCAGGCCTTTCCTGGTTCCTAGACGAAATTCAGCAGGTGTGGTCTCTGCTCAGTACCTTTTTGTGAGTTAGCAAAAGGCAGCCTTTCTCGTGGTACTTTGTCTGCAAATTGGAA